AATCAGGGAACCTGCATTATTTTTACAGGATCATGTCTCCCAGAGTCCTTGCATTGTGGAAATCACTTCTGAAGTGCACAGCTGTGCTTCACTAATGAGACAGCTTGAGCCCCACAGCTTGCTGCATTGGCTTACAGAACACAAGTTACTTGGCAAATGTGAAGCCTCAGGGTTTCTATTCCACTTTAAGGAGGTTGTTGGGAATCTCTCAAAAAAAAAGCAGTTTTGGCCTTAGAGTTTTCAGTCTTTTAGGGAAAATACTAAGGAAGGAGTCACACTGATAGAAATAATTCATATAGCTCGTCATCAGGGGTGGACATAATGGCATGAGAAGCTTTACACTTGGGGCAGTGCTGAATGACAGGGGCTCACCAGAGCTGGAGCATTCAGCTGTTTGTGATGTGCCAGCAATGGGCTGGGCATGGCTGGAGCTCCTGAGAGCTTGGGATATAGTTGTGGCAGGGGGGATTGTTCTCCAAGCCTCTGGGAGAGGAGCACTGGGAAGGATCAGCCAGCCTGGTGGAGCAGTGGTTCCAAGCCAGCGGCTTGTGAGAAACCTCAGAGCCACTCAAAGCTACAAGAAAGTAAAAAAAATTGAAGCTGCCAGGACAAAATATTGTATCACTAGCAAAGCCTTAATTATTTAGTGTTTCTGCTGGTGGCTGATGGCGCAGCAATCAAGAGCAAGCCATAAGTAATATATTGCATTAAACATGGTGTGAACTCAGGGTTCATTAGCATCACGTAGGAAATGTTGATTAAGTTCTGTGCAGAAGGCAAGGAACATGAAAGCAAATACTGAGGTAACATACAGTGAGTGTCACAAGCTGTTGTGCTTTGGCCAGGGCACAATGGGCACCAGGTGGGGGAGACATGAAACTCCTTCCAAAGAAATCACCTGCTTTGTAACAAAAAGGGAAAGCTAGGCTACTCTGGAATAAGGTCACTTTCTCCTGAACCAGTAAGACTGGCTCTTATAGTGTTTATGTGTGCTTTTTCAACCATTAGCATACTGAATTCAACTTAATTCATTCAGTTAAACATGGGAACAGATTTGCTTTCCTGTACATCAGTCTTCTTATTTGTACCATGGCTTTTACTTGTGCAGCCAGTTTGGGAGCTGTTGCAGAGAGGCTGATGGCTCAGTAATGCAGTCTCATTCCAGCTCTGACACGAGACAAACGCGGGCCAACCATAGAGATGTTGCTGTGCAAGAGAAACATTTTGCACTTTGTCTCGAGTGCTTAGTTAAAGGTCATCTATCTGAAAGGAATTTGGATATTCTTCAACCTTTCATGGTAACTCTTGTCTCCCAATACACTTTGAAGTCATCTGTGGTATTTCCAGATGTATCCATGAGGAATGCTGGTGTTCATGAACTGACAGGTGGTCTTTTTCTGCTGAACTCAGTAGTGAGCTCTTCTCACTGCAGGTCTTTTTTTGTTGTTTTGGTTTGAGATTTTTTGGGTTTGCTCATTTGGTTCAATTTGTTTTTGTTGTTGTGACCAGGTCATCATTGCCAAGATAAAATACTCTGGCTTTTATTTATAGAACAGAATTTTTTACACTACTGATAATGGAATGATCTGAACCCAGGGGTCTTGAAAGTAGGTCATTAAGTACTCAGTATAAGTAAAAGTGTTTTACAGTGTTCGTTATTTTACTGGAGAGAGCTGTCTTCTTTTCTAAACCTTGGCTTCAAAATCAAAAGACTTCTATAAGCAAAAAAAAATTATTTGATTTCATCACAAAGGAAATAATTATATCTGAGAATAACATATTTTGTATCAGGAGCAACATTTTTCAATTTATTCTTCTCAAGCACTTGAGCACCAAAGTGTCTGAAAAGTAATATTTTTCGATCATTGGACAACATAGATTTTAAAGTCAATAACAGAGCAAATTACCTCAAATTGGAAAATAAAGAAACAAGCATGGCATTGTTTTTTGTTTCATTAACCAAATCAGGCATTTGTGATAGAGCAGCAGCACTTCTGGGCTAATCTCTGGAAGTGGGAGTTGCCAGGAGTCAGTTTGGCCTGTGGGAATACTTGTAGCTGTGCAAAGCTGCACTTACTCCTTGTGGGCACAAAGGTGCTGTTATGGGGTTTACCCCATGACAAAATTCCCCTGCTGCCTTCATTCCCTTGGGATAGCCCATCTACCCTTGAAAAGCTGATTTGCCATTTTCTGGGGCTCTACACTTGGGAACTGGCTGTACTGGGACCTCTGTTCTCCCTCTCTCCATGCATGTCTTGATATGACTGGAACTGAAAGGTGATTTGGGCAACTCTTTTGGACAATACTTGGCTCATGTGCTGTCCAAGTGCCTGACCTGTGTTGTAGCAGTAGCCATGTGCTCTGTCCTGTCACAGAGGTGCTGTCCATGGAGTTCAGGCACACAAGAACTGTGGCTGCTTATTAACAATGGATGCAATTGAATGTCAGCAGCTTTTACATGCATGACGTGTTCCACTTCAAAGTAATTAGCAAAGATGCTATAAAACTCGCCTACCTCTCACCCCATCCCTTTTGGAGCAAGGCTCCTGAAATATAATTCATATTTCATGGGGTTTGCTTTTTTCACTTTGCTTTTTTTTTCAAAATATCACTGTAATAATTACTGTAACAGCATTTTCTGTGGAGTTAATGTTCTTCTGGCTTAATGGCCCCTGGTTATTCTCAGGCCATCAACTTTTTCCAGCTGGTCATCAATCCCAAAGAACTGCCTTGTGCCTCCATTATTATTGCTTAAGTAGATGACATTTCTGGTGCCACTGCTGCCTCCCAATGAGATGATATTACAGCCAATGGCTTTTTTTCCCCCCTTGCTTTCACTGTTGTCAAAGCATAATAAACAGCTGCTGTGAGAATGTTGTGGCTGTTCACTGTGAATTCCTCTGACAATTTTTAGGTGCGAGTTTTGTAGGCCAGCTGAAAGAATCTGAGTGAGGCGACTGAAAATTACTTGCCTAGAGCAGCTACAAGGGCTCAGCCCCATGCATCATTCAGGAAGTGCCTAGGCAATACCTGACTCTTTCAGTCTAAAGACTTTTTCCCAGAAGGAACATGTTTCATACCAAATCTGGGACAGATGTTCTGGGGGTGTGTTAATGTTCATTATGTAGCCTCAGACCCCTCCCCAAGTGTGCACAGCTCTGCTGATGGCCACCCTTGTTTCCTAACAATTGATGGATTATGTGGCAGACTTTTTTAAAAGAAACAAGGAAATTGTAGCTCAGTAGGCCAGAAACCAGCAGGGATTGTTTAGGTGAAAATGCCTTGCTATGTGGATATTCCAACCCGTGTGAGTTAACATTGGTACTGACTACATTTCCTTTAACCTCATTAGCACTTCGTCTTGCTTTCCCAAGCATGGTGGTGGAGCAGCTCGTTCACCTTAGAGCCTTTCACTAGGTAATTCATCAAAGTGGCAGATGAAAGCTTAGAGGAAAATGCATGTAAATACCGTGTTAGGAACCTTGGCTCACAAATGCATGAACATTTTCACCCATACCATTAGCTCTGGATTATAGTCCACAGATGCGAAAGGGACTTTGTTTACTGGGGGAGATGGAGATACCAAGGCTTACTGGTTGAATTACTGTTCAGATTGTATGCTTTTTCTTATTTTTTCTTTAATTAAAAAGCATTAAGCATTCATGAGCTTGTCTCACAGAAGAATCTCAGACTGTAATTGGAACCTAGTATTTAGTACCTTCAAAATTAAAACCAAGTTACTACAGTAAAACACTCTCATCAAGTACTCAGGGCCAAAGCATTTTCAAACAAGGCTTGAGATTGTGTCAAACCTACATCATGTATCTTTTTCAGCTTTAGAGTTTTAAGCTGTGTCTCACTGCAGACTGATTTAGTCATTGGATTCCTGTATATGTGTAGACCAGAATGATCAAGCAGTTTTTCTGATGGGTTTTTTTGCTGGGCTGGTTTGGGGTTTTTTTTGGGGGGGGAGGGGGGTGGGCAGGCATAGTTATTTGTTTGCTTTGTTGTTGTTGTTTGTTGTTTTTCAAAGACACTGAGATACACACCAAGTGCAAGATACTATTTCCTGGAGGATTACCAAGGCACACCCTCAAACAATCTTTATTTACCTCACAGCTTATTGTATTCTTGTTGGAAAGTAGCACTTTGGGAATACTGTTAACCCTTGCTCCTTTCAGTTCTCATGCTGAGCAGTAGATAATGACATACTCCTCTATAATTGATACCTGTGGTGGTGGCATACTTCAGTAACATGATTTATCAAGCATTTTCATTTTCATGAAAGCTTGTTTTACTCTTCTGCTTCTATCAGGTCGGCACTCACTGAACAGGCACCTCCCATTCCATTTTACTGTGCAACTTTCAAACATGACCTGACAAGGTAGCAAAGGTTCAGTGCACTAACTCACTGTCATGTAAAATACACACAGACATTACTGACCAGCTCTGACTGTTGAACCATAAAGGAGATACGAGAGCACCGCAGTGGTTGTGGCACAACTTGCAAATAGCATGGAAGGACTGGGGCCAAGGTATCAATCTCTTCCCTTAGCAAAATGTCCTGACCCCAGGGCTGAAAAACTATTCACGCATGAACTTATGAGGACTTAGGATTTATTATTTCCTGAAAAAAAAAGGAAGCAGAAGAATACAAAATAATGTTAGCTGTTATAGCAAGTGGAAGAAGTACAATCCTAAGCAGTTGTGAAGAGTAGAAAAGCTGTTGTGATTTCTGTTGATGAAGCATTGGTGGAAAGGAGGATTTACACAATGGCTTAGCTCCACTGAGCAACTCTAAGGGCTGCACATCTACACCATATTCCCCCTAAAAATGTACAGGTAATGGGTCCCCAGCTATTTGGGAAGACTGCCAGGAGAGATTTTTGCCCATTGCTCTGAGGTTTTGCTGTGAAATGTGCTGTGGAGGTGTAAAACCCAGCTATGTAGTGAACGGGGAGATGCCTACAGCTAATTGTGAAGTGCGTATGTCTTTGCAGCCGTTAAAGATGCACTGCAAGAGCTGCGCGCTGGTCACCAGCTCAGGACACCTCCTGGGGAGCAGCCAAGGGGACAGAATCGACGAGAGCGAGTGCGTCATACGCATGAACGATGCCCCCACTCGGGGATATGGAAAAGACGTTGGGAACAAAACGAGCCTGCGAGTCATTGCACACTCCAGCATTCAGAGGATTCTGAGAAATCGCAACGAACTCTTAAACATGAGCCATGGTGCCGTGTTCATCTTCTGGGGCCCGAGCAGCTACATGAGGAGAGATGGCAAAGGCTTGGTGTACAATAACCTGCAGCTGATGAACCAGATACTGCCTCAGTTAAAAGTGTATATGATTTCTCGCCACAAGATGCTTCAATTTGATGACCTTTTTAAACGGGAGACTGGAAAAGACAGGTGAGAACTTATATGGATACACCTAGGGGATGTCAAAGGGTAGTAAAATAATGCAGTTCATATATACCAATTTCAGATCTGCTCAGAGGGACAATCCTACCCATTAAATCCTCTGCCTCGTGAGTTGTAATGTGGCATGACATGCCAAATAATATCACTGGAAACATAAGTAAAAAATACGCATCAAAATGATCTGTATGGAGTGTTGCCTCATCAGCCTAGAATAGCAGAGTCTGGATGTACTGTTTATAGAGTTGAGGAGGCAGGAGCTGTTTAAATCTCACTTTGGGGTAACATACCTTAAAGGTTTTTTTCACTGATTCTGAAGAATTAGAATGGATAGGTTATGTTTTCTTATAGAGAAAATGCCACCATTCAGTGAATTATAATAGCTGTTTATTGAATTTAAGCATTCTTGGAACATTGCAGCTGTAAAGCTTCTTGTAAAACAAATAAACATTAGTCATACATTAGGTGCTTCAGAACAGTTCATCTTACATTTGCAACTGGAAAATGGGAAGTTATTATGATAGTTACATCTTTATGAGACTGTTTATGAGACTTGTAGGCTGATCTTCAAATCAAATTTGTAGTAAGTGACCCACTGCAGTACTTGAGTATTTTCACATATAATGTTTGAAAATGGGCATTCAAATCAAAGACTTCCCATAATAGACATTTATTTTTAATGAAGTTCTATTTTTTTATTTATTAAATATGCTGCTATAAAAATGGCACAGGGTCTGCACTTAGATACAAATGAAGAGGTAGGTTTATTGTGCAGTAACTCACAGTCAGATATGCCACTTTACAAATACAAAACATGCATACCAAAGCTTGAACAGGGATCGATCCTCTTGTGGACTCAAGCACAGTTTTCATTTTCTGGGCTATGTGAGAAAGACAGAAACAATGTTAGAGGAAACTGTTGTATCCTCTTAGCTGAAGACAACTTTTGCTTGGCATTTGCTGCCTTTGAAATGCTTTTTTCAGTTATAGTGGATCTGAGTTCATGGCAGACTCAGGCTCAAACCAGAGCACAGAGTAACTTGGTCAGTTTTGTAACAGTAAAAGTTCTCTTTTTCTTCCAATTGGTTTATTTGGGTCTCTGCTAGAACAAGAAGGAAGGATAACAAGCCTGCCAATTGTAATGTATTTGTCTTTTCCAGAGTAAAGCGAAGTGAGAAGGTGAATTAAGCATTTGAACCCTTTGAGAAATGTGCAGGGGGTTATCTGTGTGCTCAGTATTTACAAAGGCATGCTTTTGGTGATTCAGGGTAGGATCACATGCTGTCCCCAGTTCTGAGGAACAGTTTCCCTCCCTGCTCCACTCTCAGAACTTGAGTTCTGCCACGGGGAGCCAGGGTCCTGTTCCTTCCCTGACACTGCCAGGATCCTGTTCTTTTTCTGGCACATGCTGTGCAATTTCAGGCAAGCTGCTCTTTCTGGTTCTGCATCACCCATCCAAAGCCAGAGGCCTGTGTTAAGTGTGTGATGAAAGCTTTTCCTTTTCTGCACAAGCCCCAAGCTCAGCTCCTGAAATATTCTCAAGGTATTTGAGCCATTAACGGCATTGTAACGAGTTTATAGTGCACTCAGTCATGGGCACCCTGAACTCCCAGCGTGAATCAAGGGCACTCAGATGCCAGCAAAATTCAGCCTGAGGAACAGGCCCTGTTGATTTTAGAGGGCACAGACAGCATATTTGAAGGGCTAAGAAGATTAAAATGGGAGATGAAAATGAATGAGCTGCATAGAAGAAAGGGAAGATGAAACATGGGTAGAAAAGAATTTGTAAGGGAGAAAATTCAGGTGCTTGTGGGGGCAGGAGCATAACATTGCTCAGATCAGAATTTGAGCTGAGAACATTGCTCAGATATGGCCCAGAATGCTGCTGTTCCCCAGGAGGTTTCTGCTGAGCTCTCAACATTAGTGCCTACAAGAAACAAAGGAGGGAGAAGCACGATTGCAAGGTTGCAAGAATAAGACTATTCATTTCCATCCTGAAAATGATGAGAAAAAAGGTAATTGGATGTATTATGCTTTTTGGAAAAAAATTATTTTGAAATTAAGAAGAACCTTCAGAAAACATTGCCAGTTAAATAGCATGGTGAAAGACAAAGGCTGCAGAGCAATATATTTGGCATTATAAAGTAACTGTACTTGAAAATAACTTTATAATTGAATAAGGGTACATTAAGAAAATATGATTCAGAGCCAATATTATAGTAATTAGATAAAAGCAGCATAAATGAAATAACTGCAGGAAGAGTATTTCCATAGAGATTATAAATGAGATTTTGGTGGAGCAGAAAGGCCTTTAATTGTAATTTAGTGTGCACTACAGAATTATCAGCACAGTGTGTTAGTTCATCATATAAAAGAATATCTGATAATTTCCCCTAATAAGCACATGACAGTTCTTCATATTCTCTCATTACTGCTGATTAGGTATAAAAACAGTATTTTTTTGTTGGACTCTTGCTCAGATCTTTTATGAAATGCAAGACACTGTAACCGTGTTTTTGTGTTGCTGTCCTTCAGACATTGTATTTAAAGAAGGCAGAGTGGTACTTGAATGAATTTTGAAATCCTTATTTGCTTATTCAGCTTCTAAGCCAGTTTAGTTAGATTCAGTTGTTCTCCTGTTTATGGAAAACACTAAATTATGCCTAAGTGTGTGTAAGCAGAAAGACAACTAAGCCAGCAGAGAGCCTACCAGGGTGTCCTGACCTGTGCAAAGCTTTGGCCGTGGTCTGGCTGCAGTTGCTCCCCTGGTTTTGGAATGTGAGTGTTTGGCACCTCAAAAAGTGGACATGAGCAAGCTCCAGAGCACTCTTAGCCTGAACATGTTCCTGAATTATCTAGTGATTCAGAGCTCAGAAACTCTCAGGTGGCAGAGAAGCAAAATTTTTAAGCTTTTCTCTACTATTCTCTTTCCTAATATTTTTGAGCCAAAAATTCTTAGTGTTTATATTGTTGCTGTGCCTGAAGGCCTGCACTGAGCTTATGACCCAGCTATGACATTGTGACAAACTGCACCACCACCCCCAAGCTTGAGTGCGCAGTCAGAAAATAAATAAGGCCCCATAATTGGAAATAATGAGATGCTTATAACATGTCATTCTCCAAATGCTAAAGCTAGCTTGAGAGTCTGTGTGTCAGGAGCAGTAAAGATGTGTGTTCAGGGAGTTAATATGTTACCAGGTGATCCACTAAGGACAGGACAAATTACCTGGGCTCCTCAGCATCCTCCAGGCGTATTTAGTCAAAGAATTCCCTTATGTTTAGAAGTGTCTTTTAAGTAGCTGGCACAGACGCCACCACGTTTTTTTTTTTTGCCTTGCAGTCCCTGAGGAAATGGGAAACCTTGGTACAAGGCATTCCTCAATCTGACAGTGCTCAAAACTTCTCCTCCTACTGCCCTGTAGGTGACCTACTTGGAACCAGCTTGTTTAGCATCAGCCTGGGAAGCTGCGTGGTGGCTGCTGCTGGCTGAATTAGATGGTAGTGGTTGCTGGCACTTGCTTGCAGTGACTTTTGTGGCCTCAGGTCCCTGCTTCCAAGACTGTTCCACATCCTGCTATCACTGGGTAAACTGTAAAAGATGGCCTTGGAACTTGGGCCAGGACCTGGGATTCCCTGGTGACTCTTCAGAAGAGAACCTCATGTTCTCATGCTGTGATTTTTTGGGGGAGCTGTTACAAAGTTTCACAGGTATCTGGCAGATACAGGTGTGGGGGAATGGGATTAATGTAGGTCCACATTAAAACATTCTGGTACAGTGCCCAGGCCTTCCCAGAGCCTGCTCTTGCTCTCTTGGTGCCTCAGCTTTAGTAGGAGATGAAGGGAGAGGCAGTCACTGTGATAGGCTGTCAGCAGGAATCTGCGGGCTCTTTGGGCTGCAGATAACACAAGCTTGAACTTCTTCCTGTGGGACTTTCCTAGCTGGGTGAGGCATTAAGGAGAAGTCCTGTCTTATTCTTTAATAGCATTTGAAAGGAGACCTTTGAGTGAACTCATTTTCTCTGAAGCAAACCCGACTTTCTGTGCCTCCATGTCTAAGAGGGGTGCTAGTCCCCACACATGCCCTAGTGACACCTTTGAGATATTTTCTTTGCTGACATTTCCTTGATCCTTCCATTCCAAGAGTGCCAGCTCTCCCACAACATAGAGCCACTGCAACTATGGAACTTAACAACACTGGAACTTAAAAAGGAATGGGAATTCCAGTGCACGTGCCAGACATCCAACAACCATCATAGAACCCAACTCTTGGAAACTAAGCAGCACTGCCAAGCACATGAGAGGAAAAGGAAACATTACTGCTGCCATTTTGCAGATAATTTTATGATACAGAAAAGTTTAAACACAACTTGTAAATCCCTTACATCTGAGAAGTTACAGGGTGGTATTTCCTACTTTGCATAATTAATGGTGGGATCAGTGGAGCTTCTTTTAAAGCCACGTCCCAGCCTGCAGTGAAGGCAGGAGAGGCACTGCCCTGCAGGGCTCCCTGCCAGTGCTCTCATCCCATTCTAAGGCATGGCAGCCAGGGTGGTTCCTAGGATGAAGATTTCCCAGGCTGGCTGTGGGACAGTCAGAGCTGCAACCAACTAAAGACTTTCCCACCAGCAGTCAGTCACAGTGAGGGGCTGGGAGCTTCCAAAACCGAGCCAAAAGGTCAGCTAAATATTAACGTTGCTGTGCCTAAAATTAATTACAGTGAGGAAAGTTTCTGCCCAGATTACTCCACTGACAGGAGGCACCAGAAAAATCACTAAAAGATGGATGAGCAAAGTAGTCTTGGTTGCCCAGTTTTCAAAGCCTTTTACAAGAATGAAGAAAATGCCGAGAAATTGCTTCAGAATGAATGAACAAATAAATAAATAAATCTCAAGAATTATTTGTCAGCTTAGAAACTTAATTATGTTTTTGCTTTCAGGAAGATATCCAACACTTGGCTTAGCACGGGCTGGTTCACAATGACTATCGCATTAGAGCTCTGTGACAGGATAAATGTTTATGGCATGGTGCCACCGGATTTCTGCAGGTAGGATTTATTTTGGAACCATTATTAGCCAACTAAGTTAATGTTACAGATAAATATCTGAATCTTTTAATCTTTTTGCTCTGCAACAGGTCTTCAGTCCTCTTAAAGCAAGTAATTAAGATGTCCCATGATCTCATTCTGAAAACAACAGATAGCATTTAATTATGTTATATAAAATATTTTAAAATTTTGTTTGTACTGCTGGAGAATTAATCCATCTTGTTGCTTTCTTTTAGTCTCTGAATATTTATCAGCTAAATGTAATGCAATAATTGGCATGAAATTAATCTGAAGAAAGAAGTACTGGAAAACATTACTTTTAATTTGTTTTTCGAGTTCCCCCCAAATTAATCGAGGAACAGTGTTCTCACAGTGACTAGTTTATAAATTGAACTTTCTGTGCAACTCAAATTAACATTATTGTACCTCTGTCACATGAATGCAAATCTTGCAGCTTCCTAAATAATCCCCACAAAACCCCTCCCTGTGCATTTGGACCCAGAGAATGTTCTGTACTCACCTGTTTGGGGCGTGGCAGGGGGTGGCTCACACGAGGCAGAAGCAGCACAAGTTGTGTCTGTGGAAGCTGCTGTCCTAAGGAACAGCTTGCACATGTTTTCCAGCTGGGTCATGCCTCCAGCCATGTTCAGGACACAGACCCCAGGTCCTGGTTAAGGTTTTCCCACTATGGATCAGTGACACAGAGAGAGTCTTCAGAACTTCTAGTGCTAGACCAAAATTACATTAGCCACAAGATAGCAGTATGAATACAGACAAATTTGTATTACATCAGCAATATTGATGCTGACCTAAGTCTCACCTGCCCACCCAGCACTAGCCCAGCACTGGCTCCTGCCCACAGCCATTGCTGATCCCATTTGTCCTGCTGGGTGACCCAGGAAGAGCTGGAGCCAGTCTGGAATGAGGCCTCAGTGCAATGTTTGATCACCTGCTCACAAACCCCTTTCACCAAGAAGTACCTGCTTAAATTTTCTGTTGCTAATGTAGTGATCTCTGTCAAGTCTGATTCATTGGGTAATTCCCATGCCTTTCAGGGCAGGGAGGGCAAGGCTGCACTGCTGGGTTAGTCTCAAAGAATAGAACTGCTTTGACTTTCCTCTGAACACTTAAAAGGATTCTTCAGGAATCTGCATTTGTCTTGGGCACGTTATAGAAGTCCCTGAAGAAATCACAGCACAAAATGTCAACACTAAACTCCACTTTGTGAGAATTTCTACAAATTATAACAAAACACTGATGATAAATGCTGTGATGTACTGCCAGGCTTCATCATGAATTCTCCAAGGAAAATAGCTAACTAGATCAGATATGCCAGACAACACAAATACCTTCCGCAGCACAGCATCTCATTCCTCTGATCTCAGTTGGCCAACACATACTACTTCAATTTCTGTAAGTGGCTGGTCTGTCTTACTCCAGAAGTGGCTGTATTCCAGTGGCACATGGAAGTAATTCTTAAACTGTTGATCTAAAAATAAAGAAGACAGCATTTCACTGCAAAATAATGTGTAATCCTGACTTTTCAGACCAAGTCAGATTAGTTTAGATACATATTAGAAAACTCAACTAAACCCAAACAAAGTGTTTTGAGAGAGACTAAAAATGTCACTAAGAACATGTGAAAGGCTTTCATAGAATCACTACACTGAAATAAAATGGACTTAAATTATAACACAAGAAAGGCTGTAGATCAGTCCTACCAGTGAAAGACGTAATTGTTCTTACAGCCTGCATAAAAAAAAATCTTAACATAAAGGTACACATACCTGGTTGTAAAAAGGGAAAAGGTCATTTCTTAATCAAAGTAATATGAAAAATCTTTACTTCAGCTTGATTCCCCAGGTGATGAAGGGGAAAACTGTAGTTGCCATGCCTGGAAGAAGCTGTCCATGAAGATCTGTGAAAGGAGTTTCTTGTCATAAATAGAGTTAACCTTCTTAGCTGGCTCTTCAGCCACTCATTAAGAAGTTATATGACAACAGAACAGAATAGCAGAAAGAAAGAAAGAAATATTCTGCAATTGTAAGCCATATTTCCTGGTTTTCAGTCAGATAGAATAAGAATCTACCATTAAAATAAAAAAAATCAAAACAAAAAATTCCCAAAAAACCCACAAAAATGTGTGTGTGCTAAATGGTGTGGGCATCCTACTTGCTGTGAAGCTAAAAATCATTAAGATTAAAAAAGTAAAAAACAACCCCCAAAAAATCTTATTTCTATTTAGAATTAATATCACCAAATTTATAACTTCAGCAGATAGATACCCATTAATTTTTAAGTATTAATTTGTGGAATGAGTGTGGTGATCACTGTCACAGAACTAAATTAGCGTCACATCTGTAACGTGAAGGACACCTCAAAGGTACCATGAATTTCATGCTGTTGATTCTGTTACAAATTATTAGCTTAAGATCATTAACCTAATTGCTTTGCACCCATGCAGGAAAAATAGTCTAGTGAAGGAGTCTGGAGCACAGACTAAAAGATTTGTCACTATTACTTGCAACAAGGTGGTTTAGATTAATTTCTATTTACTTTCACTGGACACTGAGTTTCATAGCTGAACTGGACTTGGTGTCCTGATTATTATAAAATTCTAGTACTTTACAGTAAAGCTAGAAGTAATTTCAACCGCTTTGCTCGCTACAGATTTATGTAAAGGGTCAATGGCTCGATATTTGCTCTCATGCTGCTAAATACTTCTGTCCTGTACATTCTGTAATAAAATGGAAGTTTGTGCTTCCATGCACATCACAAACATTTCTGTAAAGTGTGCACACCTCTCACTCTTTTGTCCCAAGACAGACAAGCCATCTTGCTGTATTTTTTCCAGTGCCCAGGGATCCAATCCAAGCCTTTCCCGGACAGGAAGCACTTCTGTCTCAGAACTCCCTTTGGCAGCCCATTGCATGCACAGGACTCCCTCCTGGGACGTGCAGGGTTCTCCTCTTGCCTCCCTTCAGCAGCCTGACAGCGGTGCCCAGATAGCACAACAATTCCTGAAGGCACCGCAGTGCTGCTGCTTCCCTTTGTGGGTGCTCAGCAACAGGGCTGGGAAGGACAAGCCAAGCCTTAATGAGTGTGGAATTCCAGCCCTGTCTGTGGCATTATGGGCAGCAGGGACAGAAAGGCTGGTTCCCTGCAGGTCTCAGGGTACTCCTGTACACAAGGAAAACTCAAGGGGTTAGTGAGATGAACCGTCTTTAACTCTTCTCTTCATAGGCCCTCTGGAACTCCCACAAACTTAATTCTGAGCCTTGTTTTAACTAATATGAATAATTTTTGTTCCAGTTATTGAACCAGATAATTTTCCTTTAAGAATCCTCATTTGATTCCCAGGCCATTTTCCATGATAATTCACCTGAAAACTGGTATTTGAAAGACTTTATTGTTTTCTTACTGCTCTCTCTCTCTCTCTCTCTCTCCACTTTCAGTTCCTTTAAATCAAATGCAAAGCAGCAGTTGTTACTGGTTACATTTCCTGGAGCTTATGAGACACTGTAAGCTGTATGTGAGCTGGTCCTGCTCTTTGGTCCATATGCCTCACCTCATTAGCTTAATAACAAAATGCATACGTGGTCTGGAAAACAGGACTAATTATGGAGGTCAGGGAAAGGAGATCCTGGGAATAGAAAGCAAAAAAATTCTATCTAGAAATCTTCATGGTCCTGACACAACACCTTGCCCATCATTCAACATATAAAGGACACTTTACTCACACATCAAAATATGAATTATTTTACAAGTGTGTGAGTACCTATAGTTTTAGAGGGCTGATTTATTGTGGCTCTTTATTTCTAAGGAAAGAGGCTGGACAGAATGTGTTACGGGGTGGCCTGGTTTCCCTGCCTTCTTTTTTGCAGTATTTCCAGCTTTTGCTGTAGGTGGATACCATTTGTGGGAAAATGTGCACTCAAGTGGCAAACAGTAGCTGATTGACAGGGGTACAAGCACTTCCACGGGTGCTGTGCTGGCAGGTGATCAGGCAGGAAGTACAGGATATTTTACACAGGAACTTCCTGAGATTCCTCCCAGCTGTGATATTAATATGCATGTGGAGTCTGACAAAATACTGATTAATGTCCAGTATCAGTCAGTGATAAAACAGCATCTGTTTTAATGTTAATAAATGAGGTGGCAAGCAATTTCTGTACAGAAATTACTCATGCATTTCATTTGCTGGTGACACAAGCTAATTGCAGCTAGAAGATAACGTAGCTCAGTTAATTTAGGTTATGGTGTACTCAAGCCAGAGTTCAAATCCAAAGCTTACCAGCATGCAATCTGGGGGAATCCAGAACTCCCATAAAATGAGACAGTCCTCCATATGTAAATACCTTTCAGAATTCCAAATCTAAATGACAGCTTTTGGAATTTAGCCTTAAAACCTCAGTCAGCTGCAGAGTAGTCCTAGAGAGGTTTGCAGCCACAGCTGCCATTCATGTCCTGATCTCAACCCCCTGTTCAGCCAGCAGAGCTGCACACAAGGCCTGAGTCTTGCAGGACTGAGCTCCTGCCTCTCTCACCTGCCAGCCCCTGTGCTCCAGGTGCTTCTGGGCTGTTTCTGGTGGGATGGTGCACAGGATGCAGTGCCTGGTACAGCCTGGTAGGAGCCAAGGACATCCTCTAAGGATACACAGTTGTTAGTTGAGAGCCTTTGATGGAATTGGAATCCCTGGCTTCACAAACACCTTGCCTGGAGATGTCGGGACCAGCAGCCTCACAGGCTCTCTTTGCCCCCTGAACTGGGGCTGCATTTTTCCCAAGTCTATTGGAGATATAATTTCAACTTTACTAATCCTAACGTTAAAGCAGTAAATTTGAACCAAGCAATACAGGTGTACTGTTGAGGACCCAAGAGTAAAATCCAGCTTTAGTGCAGGAAGGAAGAGCAGTCTAAATGAGAGGCAGAGGCCCATTTGTTTAGTAGTTCTTGACAAAAACACAACACATGAAAATGTATCCTATTAGATTTATAGTAACCATACAAATGATTCATTTAAGCAACAATAAGAGGTCCAATGTATCAAAAAGGTGAAAAAATAATTGAAGATTTAGTTCTAATAGTTGTAGTTTAGAAATAATAAAATTCTCTATGAAGGGCAGCTTTAGATTACAAATACATTTTCTGTAGGTGAAGCAATGAAGGATTTTGTTTCACTCTTATGTATTCCAGTGAGAATATATTTAATAAGTTTAGAATCCATCTTATTCTAGAAATGTAATTTTATTTTTGTTCTGGTCCTGTAAGATTGATCACCATGCTGTGTTACAAGGAAGCCAGATTGATCGAATTAAAACGTTAATCTAAGGCACAAATGGAAAGCAGCAGCAATATCATACATTACCTTTGCATATACAATATGGATAATGGCAAAATAAGAAACATTAGAAAATTGCGTAGGTGACAGAATTACACAGTAAAAATAATGACCAGCACAGACTACTGACAGATTGTGGGTGCATTCAATTGAAAGTGACCTTAAATATTAGCTCTTCAAAATGAAAATAATCAACTGTATATTAGAGCTGACAGCCCTGAGTCTGTATCAGATTTCTCGCTCTGTGCTAGGATCCTATTCAGCTCAGGCAGTAGCACAGAGCAGCTCCCAAAGCTTCACTAAGTGCTGATACTGGGAATTTTCTGCCACAGCACTGGGGAGAGAGGGATACAATTGGGTAATTCTGTCTGGGACAGCTTGCTCTCTTAGTATTTATGACAGAGTTGTGGGAGTTCCTGTCTGCCCCAAATGCCCGTGCCCAAAGTAAAAAACCGTCGTAGGTACAGGTTAATGTAGAGATTAAAACAAAAGGAAAATGAAGTGCTCTGACTTATTATAATACAAATGTACCATTTACAGAGTGTTACATGGAAACACTGAGGTCAGAACTGCTAAAATGAACTTCATCCTAAGTATCTAATTGGTGTTTAGCGTATCCAGTGTGTCACCACAAGTCACTCATCTCCCACTGGGAAATGTGAACGGGTTCACAAAGTCAGAGATACTGTGGGTGAACTGTTTTAATTTTTAGCTTAGATACATGAAAGCTGCTGTTGTAAAGAACTCATCTGTGCATCAGGCATTTGATTAAAGCACCAGCAACAGCAGCCTGCACCACTGACCTGGCATGCAGACACTCATTGAAGCTGCGCTCTCAGAACCTGGCGCAGCGTGCTGGGAACGTTCGGCTGAGCCGAGGTGACACAGATAACCACCTCATCTATCATCTTCTCTTTCTTACCCAGTTCAGTAAATACCTGAAGCTAGCAAGACCTTTTACAAATCGCCACCTAGATTTAAATCTCTTTTAAGCAGTTTACTTCTAAATTCATAGCAGTAACATAGCCCTGCAGCATTCTCCCTTGTTTCAGAGTTACTGCTGTCCTTTATTTAACTGGAAGGAAGATGATTAAAGGAGAGCAAAAGAAAAAACAAAGAGAACACCTTTGCCCCATTCTGATGTATTAGATGTGCAAGAAAAAAATCAGCTACATAGTTTAACTGGGAGAAAAAGTGGATTTGAGGCCATCTTTTCATTAAAGATAGCATCTTTCCAATCAATGAAAAAGAACATCTTGGGCTTCCATCTATTTTCTTTTTTTCACAGGGATCCTAATCATCTTTCAGTACCTTATCACTACTATGAACCTCTGGGACCAGACGAGTGCACAATGTACATTTCCCACGAGCGGGGCCGCAAGGGCAGCCACCACCGCTTCATCACCGAGAAACGCGTCTTCGAGAACTGGGCACGGACATTCGACATCCACTTCTTCCAGCCAGACTGGAAACCAGAACCGCTCACTGTAACCCACCCCGAGGTGAAACCACTGGCCTGAGGGATGGATGCACAAGCCCAGCCACAGTCACCTCCGTAGCAGCCTCTGGACCCTGTGGGCCAGCACGGCAGCCTGGAGGAGAAGGGAACAGGGTCTGCAGCTGGCACCCGCAGCAGCGTCAGGAAGTTGGCACGGACGAGCAGCACGCACCAAGAGTACTTTCTGTTAAACTGTATTAACCCAGTCTGCCACCTTTTGGGGCCATCTGACTTCCTGTGTGTTTGTGATTTGTGAAACACAACCTGAGTGTCATTAAGGGATGGTTAATTCATTATGGCTTTTTTAAGTACGATGCCACTGAATTTTCATAGTGAAAACTTTCCATATTTATTTAATGGAGGTTTTTATGCAACCTAGGCCAGTATTTTTCTAAGTCACAGTTATGTGGTTGTTTATCTTTCATAATCTTTTAAATCCAAAATTAATATTGCTGATGGTTTGAAAGGCCTAGCTTTTTATTTATAAAACTTGTTTGAAATATATAATTCTATATAGCATGTTATTAATATTTGATCGGGAAACATTGGATTTCTTCTAAGAATTTTGGGCTCTGTTCCAGCCTAAAGCCTTTAACAGCAAGAGTGGTCCCATGTGCAGATCCAGCTCACTTTGCATTCTGAAATCTTATATTAATATGAAAATGGTAGTGAAAATTCTGTTTGATATTAATGTGCACTTGGTGCTGTGCTATCCAGCTGCTGTTTTTTAAATAGGGGTGGGAGGAAGGAGGGCAAACAAAATTTATCCAAAAAAAGCCAAACCCCCCCACCGGCCATGGCAGCAGCTTCTCACTGAAGACAAGCTAAGGCTGGAGGGGTTGTGTTCTGTTTTGGCTCTTACATTCCCATAAGAGGCTGCCAGCAACCCTTCTGAGGCAACAGACTACAAACCAGGCCACAGCTGCTCAACACAATCTGACCAAATTTCCAGAATGAAGAAAGTAAACCACCAGTACTACAGTACCAGTCATAGTAGCCAGAAAGATCACAGCACTGCACCTGCAAAAATCTCTGCCTTCCACTGTCCCAAGATCATCACTGATCTCAGAGATTCTGGATCACACCGAAGCTGGGATGTGAAAAGCGTTCCATGAGTACAAAATTGTCCTCCTGAAAGGAGCAAAGTTAAACTGCTTTTTTTCCCATGGAGTACCTATGTGTGCATGGTGAGTCCCTGCAAGACAAAGGGGAAGGACAATGCTCATGCTGTGTATGGAACCTCACAATGGGAATTACTGAGTTACATGTGGCTTGTGAATAAAGAAGATTTCAGTTACAGTATTACTTTCCCTTTTGCTTCACAAATATCAAATCTCAATTTTTTTCGAAGTAATCAGTAACTATTGCATGAAACATACCTCAGGTGATGAAAGGTGTCTCATTAGACAAGTGCAAAAGCTAGAACAAAGATACTACCTTTAAACACCTAAATCCAAGAAGCTGAACCTCAGAGGTGAGACACAGAACTGGGACCAAACCCTCTCATTTAAACCCCCTTATAACCCATGGTCTTCCTCTTTCCAAAACTGGATAGCAATAGCTGCAGCTGCCCCACAGATACCCTGATTCTCTGGGGACAAAGTGAACTGTCCTGGCAGGGGCAAACTGGTGTCACCTCTGTAACACTGCCTGGAACTGAAGTGCAAGTCTCCGAGAGCCACTGTCCTGCTGCAGCCCTGCCCACTATCAAAAAGTAAGAATCTATAATGTATTTTGCCTTAAAAGCTTAATTTTGGTGTTCTTCCTGGTACACACCACTCAGCTTACAAACTGAATGCCAAGTGTGTGTTACCTTTCTCTTGTCAGCTGGTGTTTAATTCTCCTTTCACTGATGGTGTTTTATTCCCTCCACTTGATTTCACTGCATTCTATAAAAAACAGAATGGGTTTTGAACTAATGGCAGTTTGAACATCCCTTTCAACATGTGTACTGGGGTGTATCCAGCATATATTGCTCCAATTGATGAAATCTGTCAAACTGATTTACAGATCATTTCTAATGTGACTGCAAGACATGGTACAGATCACAGTAAGTCCTCTGCTACCATCCCTGTTTTATTACTGATAAAATAATAAAAAGATCTTGTCATTTTAAACTAGAGCTCTTAGTTTTCCATCAGTTAAGGGCTGCAAGTTGTGTATGCTGTATGTTTAGCTATTGTTAAAATCAGATCATTTAAAGATAGAGTACACTGGTCTATTTCTGTAGAAACACAGAGACTTGCCCAACCCCATTGTGTTCCACAGGTTTGTTCCCTGTCTGCAAGACTGCTCAGTGTCAAGTAGATATGGGGAAGCATTAAGAATATGAAGAAATATGGAATAAACTGTAAGGACACTAAATCTCCTAACAGAGCTAAGCTAAGCCTTTTAACTCATTCCTTGTTCAGTTTCTGTTAATAACTGTGTGTTCTTGCTACCCTCATACATCTTTTAAACAAAACAAACCCAAACTCACTTTAATCTCAGCAACCTCCTGTGAAGTTCCAGCAAAGTCCCATCTAATTACAAAAAGTATGAAGGAGTATTGTGTTAAGTCACACGTGTATATATAAAAAGGCATTTGATGATGCCAAGGAAACAACAAGTTTTAAATAGATCGCACAGATTTACATGGAACATAAACTGAGTCCTAAAAGCACAAGTTACAAGAGTGCAAAGAAATGTAAATAACTGTTAAAGCACTGCAATTTTAATTAACAGATCACTGATGTATTTCTCTATAGATGCACAATTTTTGAGCTACAGAATCCTGCTGCATTTCAGCAGCATGATGTAAGGTTTTATGGCCTAGTTATAAACCAAACAGATTTATGACAGAAAATGCTGTCAGCCTAGGGATAAGTAGTACAAACTAGGCATTGCTCCCATTCTCTGCTTTATGCTGTCATCTCACACTCTTCACTATAATTTGATCGATTCATGATCTGCAGCGCATCATTTCACATATTAAAAGCTGTTGCAAAACAGTGTTTACAGACATCAGCAATTTCAAGATCTATGTTGGTTTAGTTCTGAACCCCTTGCATACCTTTAGGCTTTTACACTTGCCTTTGTCAGAGGAGATATTTTTCATCTTGAAGAACTGTAGTTCTTACACCATGATATGTGCAACTGGAATTGAGAATGATAAAGAAAACATCTCTGCAACTAAGCACAAAAAAGTTCCACCACAGCTGCTCTGTGTTCTGTTGGCTCCATGGTGACAGCACCATGGTACAATGGCAAACCATAATGCACGCGGAAAAACCCAAAGTGCTAAAGACCTCAGAAAGTTAACACTTTATTCTTCATAAGGAAACTGAGGAAATAGAAGGTTAATTAACTAAGGCCAAGTTACAGCCTTGGAACAGGATTTGGGAGAGATTCAGGTCTGCTGACTGGCAGCCCTGGCTTGATCCAGCACAACACACAGTGGTACTGCCACGTTCACTCACACAGGCAGTAAACAAAATCCTTCTGGAGCTGCCTACCTGGGACTTGTCCTGTATTTTCCAGGCAAACTTCAAAGGAAACTAAGTGATTTTTACCCAAAATACCTCTAAGGTTGCAAGGAAACAGTAAGATAAAAATAGCTGGAAAAGCATCGGGGAATGGGGTGAAGGGAATCTAAACAGTAAGGAATAAAATGTACCTTGTGCCATCTAGCTTTATTCCCCTGGAATGTGAAGATCAAACTCAGGCTAGAGCTGACAGAGAAGAATGTCCTGGCTCAACAGCAATGGCTGTCTTGCATAGATTTCTTTGCAGTATTCTAGAAGTTGATCATAGGTGCCACAAAAACTCTTCGAAAAATGCTGATAGTAATTTCTGTAATCCAAGTTAATTATTTTATCTGATGCAAGGAGACACAATTTCTAATTAAATTAAAAACATAGCTTAGGGATTAAAAAAAATAATAAGCAGTTAAACAGTCAGAGTACTTGTAAAACAGCAAAAAGTACTGCAAAACAAAAGGAGCTACAGAAACCTTACAGGTACCAATATTTCTGTCTTCCCTGGACCACCAGTTCATACTGATCACTTTGAATTTCCAGCTGCCTGCTGCAAAGGCATACCTTGCATATAACAAGTATACAATTTTGTAAGGAGAAATAAAAAAGAATTAAGGACAATCTTGTTTTATAAAAACCTAGGAAATATTCTTTTAAAAAATCCTAGGAAATATGAAAGGGCAAATGTCTAAGATGGTGTGAAATTTCTCCGTGCTGAAGCAGAAAAATATAAAATTCAAAGACTCTTTTATAAAATGACTGTCAAATGGCACTGCTTATGGTAAATACTCTTAAAACCACTAGACTGTTAAATGTTTTTCACACAGAAAATTACACCAAAACATGAAATGTCAAATGATGCCCTTTAACCACCATGTGGATGGAGATTCAGCATCACAGCAAAAGCAAAGCTGGTGATTTCACCTCAGCCAGCTGTGGAACAGACTCCATGGCAAAGGCAGATGTGTGGAACCAGGCCCTGAACCAGCATCCCCTCGGTGCTGAGCCCCTCCAGGGTGCCAGTAGAGAGCACACGGCTGCACAGCACTGCCAGGAGAAAGGGACACATCCCTCTGTCCTGCCTGGCACTGGAGGCCAGGCCACAGCAGAGAAGCTGCACAGAGATGACCAACACACAGTGTCGCTGTCTGCTATGAAGTGCTTTGACCAGGAGTTACCAGGAAAACAGAACAGACAGGAAAACTGCAGACAACCCCAGCAATCCTGACAAACAGATGGAAACCTGCAAGAACAAAATTAGGAGTCACAAAGAAGACAGACTGACTAAGATTTAATGCAGCTTTTGTAAGCAGAACTCTGTATTCTTCAAGGTTCTCTGAAGCAAGGGCAGAAAGAGATCCAAGTGATGGATCCACTTGGAATTCCACAACTAGGTTTGCAAAAGACTTCCAAAGAAGTTACAGTTAACAGAAAAAAAAAAAATAAAGATCCTCACCCTATGGAACTATCTGAACATAGAAAATAAGGCCAAGAGGATACAGCATCATCTTAAGGGTACAAGCAGAATTCCACAGGAAGAATTTCACAGTATCTTTTTCTCTTTTTCTGTGCTACTCCTTTGGTATCTATCATAGAAAATTCCTAGATGGGGGACACAAGAGCTAGACTGCATTTAAATTAATAGATAGATAAAAAAATATGAAAAAATGTATCCAGTGAACATCACATTCCCTAAAGCCCAGTTCCAGCCTTGCCATACTCTCCATGTGCCAGGCCCACCACAGATCTAACACAGGAACTGCATTCTCATTTTACTGAAAGCAATGCCAAAGCATCCAACACAGATGGAGAGTAAGACTGGACCCCTTCTAGCAAACACAGAAAATCCTCTTAATAATTTCATTTCTGAGGACAGGTTTGTCTTCTTTAGGACATTTTTAGTGCTATTTAAATCTGCCAGCTTCTTTACACAACCCAGACAGGTGTTAACCTTTTTAGGACACTAGGTGCTTCCTGTAGTACAGGGAAGATGAATGGAGTAATTCATATTTAGCAAGGTATAAAATTTTAGGACTTTGCTGACTTAACTTCGGCTGTCAGGTCAGTTGGAGCCTATTATGATCCAAACATACAGCATGGTGAGAGACTGTTAACAGCAAAACAAAGGAAATTCCAAAGGGAATCATTTGGTGGCGTGGCTTCATTTAAGGAAAGAGGTTAGGTTTATGTTAGGTTTAAGGCAAACAAAGTGAACAGATTTATAGCCTGTAAGAATAAACTTCCCTGTTTATTCCCTGCATCCTTGCTGCACACAATGCCAAAACTGAAAGTGGTTACTGATATTCAGTGGGACTGCTCATTTGTGTTGGAGAAAATTGGAACATTCCCACTACACTGTTACTATTTTTTCACTGTGGCTCTACATGCATAGATGTGCATTACATGAAACATAGAAAAGCTCTTCCTCATCCCTCCACTGCAAATGATGCTGCAGAGGAGCAAATGAAAAAAACCAGCAACAACAGCAGTTGCAGAAAGCCTTCTATATATATTAAAAAATATAAATACAGGGACCACTTCAGAGAAGGGTGTGTAAAGAACTGCACAAAATACAAACATACATTGTAATGATACACTGATGACCCCATTGATCCTATCTGCCATTCCATTTGCATTATAAAGACCAAGGGATGTAAAATCATCACAATTTGAGCCATAATATTTTCAGCTACAGAATTTTAACCTGGACAGGAAAACTAGTACAGAAAAAGTAACTTAATGAAAATCAAACATAATCTAATGTTTAGTGAGGCTCTTTGTTGGTAA